CTACTAACTAAACAAGGTATGTAGCATTATGCAGCAGAGTTATAGTCCCAAAACAACCAGAACAAAACAAAAACAGAAATTATCCAATGACTGATTTAACAGTCCAAAAATAGCGCAGCAAAAAAATTGTCTTAAGCAATCACATTAACGACGCAAAAAGTAGGTTAGAGTGTTGCAGATGGCCTCCTTCAGTTGGTCAAAGCTGGCATTGGCTGAGATGCTCATTCCATCAAACCTGTCATGAACCTCCTTGAAAGCATTGACAACGATATCCCTTACTCTGAGAACGGCAACTCTTATCTTGGACACATCAGACCCTGTTTCTCTGGAGATGGCATGAATGTCACCAATAGTCGACTGAGTGGCTGTGAGGAGATCTTTAATTTTAGAGAGTTGAATGTCAATGGCACGAAGCTTCTCAGCAAGATCAGGATCACTAGGACTAGGATGAGAGGCAGAACGTTTGGGTTTGAGATCTATTGGAGTATGCTTCACTTCGCCTTCGTACTTCTTAACCCATGAGCCTTTCACACTCACATAGCCCATACTTGCAAAGGCTCTGGAATTGTATGATTTTGAAACACTGATAAAGGGATAAGCAGATAGGGAAATTTGATAAGGCTTCCAGGATGTGAGAGATGGCCATACCATAGGGTAGACTAGTGGGATCTTCTGCACTTTCAATAATGAAGTTAATGACCCAGGAGGATAACTTGATTTTGAGTTTTGTCACAAGACAATACATCAACAAGGTGTCTCTTTGAGAGAAGGTGGAAAAGGAACCAGTGCGAGGAAGCAGAGTGGTTGCTACGATATGAGCCAGGACTCGAGTTTCGAAACTAACATCACTGGGGCCTAACTGGTTGGGAAGGGATTGAGAGTGGCACTCAGCAATACATCGTTTAACTTGATCAAAGGAGATTTCAAAATCATTGGGCCAGGTATTTTTGAAAAGCATAGGAAAACCAGAACATTTACACTGAAAGAGTGAATCAAACATGGCACAGTCAAGAACAATACGCTTACCTAACACTAAGGATTCCAACTTATCAGGTTTACTAGAATGAAGATTAGCATATAACATCTTTACTAGGGGTTCATAGACCTTAGGCGGAGCAATAGAGAGGAACATAGACCACCCTTGATGAACAGAAAGATCTTTTACCTTACAATTTAGGGCTTCCATGTCGTCAAGCTCGACTACCCTTCCATGAGCAATGGACTTGTCTTTCAAAGCGATGAAAAGATCCATGTTTGGAGAATCCCAAAAATTCAGGTCAGATTTTAGGGAGCCAGAAAGATCTATCTTGGATTTCATTGGAGTAGAGGAAACAGGGGGGGTCTTCCATAGGTCGTTTCGTAGAGCTTTTTCTCCTAAGATTTGAGAATGATCAGACAAATCGCCTTGCGAAGAAGCAAAACCCTCAGATTTGTCGGACCCTAGGTCTACTTGTTCTGGGGGCACAGAAGGGGGTTTCGCTTTGGAGTATGTACTTTTTCTGGTGCAGGCAGATGGGTTCTTGGAGTGTTTAGCCATTGAAGGATAGTGGTTTGAGCAGAGCTTCAGAGAAGGGTTTTCTAGATGATAGAGATGAAAGTGATTGAAAAGATATCTCCACCTTAAAAGGAGGGATTCTGAACCTTCTGATGGTTGAGTACAGAAAAGGAAAAGGCGTCAGTTGAATAGACATGATGATTGGTTTTCCATCTTTGAACGACGCAACTGATGTGAAATAAGAGGAAAAGAGAGGGAAAACGGAGGCGTAATTAATGTAAAAGTAACAGACAATTATTAAACCTACAAAAGTAACCGGATAACACATAGGTCCTACACAATTATTATTAATGCAAACAATGCCAAATAATTTTCTCAAAGCACAAAACCTAATCTCTAATGAAGGCTTAGTAAAAATATCTGCTAATTGATCAGTTGTTCCAACAAAAGATATTTCTATGTCTCCATTAAGAACATGATCTCTAATAAAATAATGCGTGATGTCTATATGCTTTGCTCTAGAATGATGCACATGATTTTTTGAAAGACATATAGCAATAGAATTATCACAAAAGATTTGAATAGGCTTAAAATCATAGTCACCAAGTTTATGAGACATCCACAGTAGTTGTGCACAACATTGTCCAATAGCAATGTATTCAGCTTCAGTCGTGGATAGTGCAACTGATCCTTGTTTTTTATTGAAGATTAAGATATCAAAGCTTTACCATGCAATTGACATGTCAACTCGTGCTTTTTCTGTCTTCCTTATCACCTGCAAGATCTGCATCTGAAAAACCTTCTAATTTAAAAGTGTTAGAACGAGGATACCATAATCCATGGGAGGCAGTTCCAATGAGATATAGAGTAATTCTTTTTACTGCAGTCAGGTGAGACTCCTTAGGTGCTGACGGAAACCTGGCACATTTACAAACGCTGAACATAATATCTGGTTCACTAGCATTTAAGTAAAGAAGAGAACCAATCATTCCATGATACTTAGTTTCATCAACAAATTTTCCCCGTTCATCTTTGTCGAGACTTGTTGAAGGACTCATTGGTGTGCCAATAGCATTGGCACTGCTCATGCCGAATTTTTGGATTAGCTCCTATGTGTATTTAGTTTGACATATGAATGTTCCTTCTTCTTATTGTTGAATTTGAAGTCCGAGAAAGAACGTCAGTTCTCCCATCATACTCATTTCGCACTCACTTTGCATAAGATTTGAAAATTCCTTCCACATAAAAGGATTAGTACTACCAAATATAATATCATCAACATAAATCTGAATAATGAGATTACCTTCTGATGATCTTTTAATAAATAGAGTAGTATCTACTTTACCTCTTGTAAACCCATGATCAATAAGAAAAGAGCTTAATCATTCATACCATGCTCGTGGAGCCTGCTTCAGCCCGTACAGTGCTTTAGTTAGCTTATACACATGATATGGAAACTCCGAGTCTACAAACGTAGGAGGTTGCTTCACATATACTTCCTCTTCAATGAAGCCACTTAAGAAGGCACTTTTAACATCCATCTGAAATAACTTGAATCCTTTAAAAGATGCATATGCCAACAGAATGCGTATAGATTCCAGTCAAGCTACTGGGGCAAAGGTTTCGTCATAGTCGACTCCTTCTTGTTGTGAATATCCTTGAGAAACAAATCTGGTTTTGTTTCTTACGACTTTTCCATCCTCATGGAGCTTATTTTTGAAGACCCACTTTGTCCCTATCACAGGAACATTTTCATGTTTGGATATCAGTTTCCATACTTGATTTTTGTCGAATTGATCTAAATCATCCTGCATCGCTTGCATCCAACTTGAGTCTTTAAGAGCTTCCTCTATTTTCTTTATCTAAATCTGAGAGATCAGTGTTATGTTTGCTTCTTCTTGAGAGATCCCCTGGTTTTCATTCCTTCATTTGGATCTCCTATGATGAATTTTTGAGGATATTCAGGTTCACTTCTCCATTCATTTGGGCGAACTGTATGAGTAGTCGACTCCTTCGGCTGTTCTGGTGGATTGTTGCTGGTGCCATTAGTTGGCTCTATCACGGCGTCAGATCCATCAATCGACTTTTGTGATTTGCTTGTCTCCCAATTTTCTTGAATTTGATCTTCATCACCTGCAATAATACCTTTCTCGACCGAGGAGTTATTTTCATCAAATATAATATGCACAGATTCTTCCACACACATCGTGCGTTTGTTGTATACTCTAAAGGATCTACTATTTAATGAGTAACCCAGAAAAATACCTTCATCACTTCTTGGATCAAATTTTCCAAGATTGTCCTTACCATTATTGTGAATGAAATACTTACTTCCAAAGGGATAAAAATAACTGATATTAGGACGTTTACCTTTCCATAGTTCATAAGGATTTTTCTTCAAAATGGGCCTTATGAGACATCGGTTGAGAATGTGACATGATGTACTTACTCCTTCTGCCCAGAAATAATTTGGCAGTGAATGATCTAGGAACATAGTTCTTGCCATATCTTGTAGGGTTCTGTTTTTCCTTTTAACGACTCCATTCTGTTGGGGTGATCGTGGTGCAAAGAAGTTATGAGTATATCCTTGATCATTACAAAAGTCTTCAAATGCTCTGCTTTTAAATTCTCCTCCATGATTTCTTCGGTGGTGTTCCAGCAAAACATAGTGATCACTTTCTTTTAGGTACCCAAGCTTGCTTGGGTCCTGGTTGGTTAGTGTTACTAGGTTCAGGATCATTTTTGGGTTTCCAAATCCATCCTAAAATATTAAACTTACGAAAATGAGAATAAGAATGTTTATGTCCACTTTTATTGCAGTAGTGACACGTAATTCCTGACCCATTTTTGGGTCTTTCAGTTGTGTTAGTACTAGTGGACTCAGTTCTGGCTGGTCCTTTTCCAGTTGACTTGTAACTTGTCTGGTTTGACCTGATAGAACAGTGACTGGTGGATTTGCGCATGCCATTGAGTTACATTTGCTATTCCTCAAACTCTTCTTGAAGCACTTCTTTCTCGATTTCCTCCATCATTTTTTAGACTCTTTCAAAGTGAGATCAATAATATCCTGCAATTCATTACATCTTTCACAATTATAAGACCTTACATCGCTTGTTTCACCTCGATCCATGAAGCAGTTTTCATTGTTATCTTTCCATTCATCGTCTGAAATATCCTCGTCTGTCCAGCATCCTGAAAGTTTGTTCATATCATTTTCCAGAATTTTCATGAAGTAAAGATTTGCTACTTCTTCGTATTCTGAACTGTCTTCATCACTCCAGCTTCCAAATGATTTGTTTTTTGTTGAAACCTCTGGAGATTTTCTTTTTAGATTTGGACATTCGGCTTGAATATGTCCAAATCTTCCACACTCATACCATTTTCCATCATTCTTATCTTGTTCGTTGTATTGCCTGGTTCGCTTGGGTGGAATCCTTCCTCTTCTCGTGTTCCTGAATCTTCTCATTAAGCCATCCATGTTTCTTGACATCATAGCAATTTCTTCTTAAAGAGCTTCAAGATCATCATTGATATCATTCTCAACTATTTCAGTTGTGGCCTTGAATGCAACTATTTTCTTCTTTTCTTCTTGGTTTGTTTTCTTGAGATGCGTCTTTTCGAAGGCTATGAGTTCTCCACGAAGTTCATCATAAGATAATTTATTCAGATTCTGTGATTCAAGTGTGGCTACTTTAGTTTGCCAAGTGGTTGGTAAACTTCTAAGAATCTTTCTAACTTGATCACCACTTGAGTATGGCTTGCCAAAAGCTTTTAGGTCGCTAATGATTTTACTGAATCTGGCAAACATTTCCTCAATGGATTNGCACTCTAAAGGATCTACTATTTAATGAATAACCCAGAAAAATACCTTCATCACTTCTTGGATCAAATTTTTTCAAGATTGTCGTTACCATTATTGTGAATGAAACACTTACTTCCAAAGGGATGAAAGTAACTAATATTAGGACGTTTACCTTTCCACAGTTCATAAGGAGTTTTCTTCAGAATAGGCCTTATGAGACATCGGTTGAGGATGTGACATGCTGTAATTACTCCTTCTGCCCAGAAATTATTTGGTAGTGAATGTTCTAGTAGCATCGTTCTTGTCATATCTTGTAGTGTTCTATTTTTCCTTTCCACAACTCCATTTTGTCGGGGTGATCTTGGTGCAGAGAAATTGTGAGTATATCCTTGATCATTACAAATGTCTTCAAATGCTCTGCTTTCAAATTCTCCTCCATGATCACTTTGGATTGTTGTAATCATGTACCCCTTTTCTCTTTCGACCTTCTTATAGAAAACCTCAAATTTTTTTAACGCTTCATCTTTATGAGTAAGAAAATCACCCAAGTAAAACACTAGTAATCATCAACAATAACAAAAGCATATCGTTTTCCTCCTATGCTAGCAGTTCTAGTAGGCCCAAATAAATCCGTATGAAGCAGTTGCAAAGGTTTAGAAGTAGATAAAATATCCTTGTTTTTGAAAGGGTTTCTAGTTTATTTTCCAATTTGACAAGCATCACATATATGATTTATAGAGAAATTCAGTTTAGTTAAGCCAATAACTAACTCATGCTTGGAAAGTTTTTTATCAGATGCATGCTTGCATGACGAAGTTTCCTATGCCATAACCACGGATCATCAGATATGGAAGTTAAACAGATATGACCATCTATATTTTCAAAACCATCGAGAATGTAAACGTTTCCATACCTTTTACCTGGGAGGATTGTTTTACATGTCTCATCTTCAACAGCACAACCTGTTTTCTTAAACTTTACCTCATATCCTGAGTCGTATAGCTGACTTATGCTCAAAAGATTGTAATTAAGCCCATCAACTAGATAAACCTCAGTGATATCACAATTGTTATTGAAGCGAATTGTTCAGGTACCGATTATTTTTCCTTTTGAGTCATCGGCAAACTTAACGCTTCCTCCATCTATCTTTGTAACTTCCTTGAACAGGTTTTTATCACCTGTCATGTGACTGGAACACGCACTGTCTAAGTATCATTTTCCTTTGCGACTTCTTCTATGGTGTTCCTGCAAAATATAGTGATTACTTTCTTTTAGGTACCCAAGCTTGCTTGGGTCTTGGTTGATTAGTTTTACTATGTTCAGGATTGTTTTTGGGTTTTCAAATCCATTCCGAAATATTTGACTTACGACAAAAAGAATGTTTATTTCCACTTTTATTGCAGTAGTGACACGTAATTCCTGAACCATTTTTGGGTCTTTCATTTGTGTTAGTACTAGTGGACTCAATTCTGGCCGGTCCTTTTCCAGTTGACTTGTAAGTCGCCTGGTTTGAGCTGATAGAACTATGACTGGTGGATTTGTGCATGCCATTGAGTTGCATTTGCAATTCCTCAAACTCTTCTTGAAGTACTTCTTTTTCAATTTCACATAATTCATGTTTGAGTTTCTAGTCTTTTACTTCTTTGTTGAGTCTCTTTAGGTCATTCATCATTTTTTGAGACTCTTTCAAAGTGAGATCAAGAATATCCTGCAATTTATTACATCTTTCACAATTATAAGACCTTACCTCACTTGTTTCTCCTCGAGCCATGAAGCAGTTTTCATTGTTATCATTGCATTCGTCATCTGAAGTGTCCTCATCTGTCCAGCATCCTGAATGTTTGTTCATATCGTTTTCCAGAATTGTCATCAAGCAAAAATTTGCTATTTCTTCGTGTTCTGAACTATCTTCATCACTCCAGTTTCCAAATTATTTATTTTTGTTGAAACCTCTGGAGATTTTTCTTTTTAGATCTGGACACTCGGCTTGAATATGTCCAAATCTTCCACACTCATAGCATTTTCCATCATTCTTATCTTGTTCGTTGTATTGCCTGGTTCGCCTAGGTGGGATCATTCCTCTTCTCGTATACCTGAATCTTCTCATTAAACCATCCATGTTTCTTGATATCATAGCGATTTCTTCTTGAAGAGCTTCAGGATCATCATCGATATCATTCTCAGCTATCTTAGTTGTGGCCTTGAATGCAACTGTTTTCATCTTTTCTTCTTGGTTTGTTTTCTTTAGATGTGTCTTTACGAAAGCTATGAGTTCTCCACGAATTTCGTCATAAGACAATTTATTCAGATCCTGTGATTCAAGTGTGACTACTTTAGTTTGCCAAGTGGTTGATAAGCTTCTAAGAATCTTTCTCACTTGATCACCACTTGAGTATGGTTTGCCGAAAGCTTTTAGATCGCTAATGATTTTACTGAATCTGGCAAACATTTCCTCAATGGATTCTCCTTCTTTCATCTGGAAGAGTTCATAATCGTGAACCAACATGTTGATATGTGTTTCCTTCACTTTGCTGGTTCCTTCGTATGTAACTTCAAGCTTATCCCACATTTCTTTGGATGTATCACAGCCGGAGATTTTTTCATATTCTTCACCACTTATAGCATTGTAGAGCAAATTTCTTGCCTTGTTGTTGACTTGCACAACCGTCATTTGCTCATCTGTATATGAGTCTATATCTTCAGGATCAGCAAGAGGTTGAGCAGCAGCCGACAGAGGATAGTTTCCCTTTTTGATGACCCTCCACACTTTAACATCATATGCCTTTGCATATATTTCCATACGTACTTTCCAGTGAGAGAAGTGATGTCCATGAAGTATGGTGGCCTTACTTGGGAAGTACCTTCTTGAAAAAGTGCTCCTATAATAACTTGATTAGCCATGATCTTTTCTCACAAGCTGTTAATAAAAAAAAAGTGTGAGCCTTGCTCTGATACCAATTGAAAGTACAAGAGGGGGGGATGAATTGTTTATTTTTAAACTTAATAGCTAGCAGTTAACTAGTTCTACGATTAGTCGACTGGATATAAGAAATTGATACTAGTTAAAGACAGAATTTAAGATGCAGAATTTAAATGCAGGAATTAAAGACACCAGAGTTTTTATACTGGTTCAGATTCAATGTGAATCCTAGTCCAATCCCATTGGGTTGCAAGGGAGTTCTTTTTTAGTGAATGAGTTTCTTCGAGAGTACAGAGAATGGTGTGGTCTATACCGATCATTTAGTTCCTATTTCACTCGTTTCTTTTGATACAATGCCTCACCCGTGTTGTTCTCTCTTTTTCTCTAACTTGTTACATAGCAGATCTAGTAGAGCTACAATGTTTGTTTTTAGTAGAATAAAGAGAGGGTATTTGGTTTGATCAAAGTATCTATTTCTAGGGTACAGATACAGGTTTAGATACTTTGAGAGAGGCTTGGTTTTTGGAGAGATTTGCCAACCCAAGAGATTTGATCCTTCGAGAGAAGTTGATTCTTGCCAAGAATAATGTCATACAGCAACGGCTATAATTACGAGATCCCTGATTGATGTTCCATATATGCTTCCCAAGATCTTGCACCTTTCGGATTTGGATACGCTCGACTTGTTTGATTCCTTAAGTTTAGGCTTGATTGATTCTGTCTGGGCTTTGATTGATTGCTCTAATCCCGGATTGCTTTTCTTGATTCCTTCCATCTTGTAGCTGTCCATTGATTTCGTAATCTTTATTAGTCTCAGATTACTTTCCTTAAGTTCCCTGATTGATTGCTTTCATCTCGTAGTTAATCCTTGATTCCTTGATCTTCTCTAATTGATTCCTTCAATCTTTGAATTGCTATCCATGAGTTCCTGCACTGATATATTATTTTCATCATTAAAATCAAATCTAACAGTAATGCCTTTAGCAATAGCTAGAAGATAAAAGTAAAATTTTATTGCTTTGAATTACGTGTTACAATGTGTCTGACTAAAGAAGAACTTCCCCTTTATATAGTAGGAGAATTTCAGTCCTAGTACAAGTCTAAAAAAAGTAAGAATCTTCTTATTCTGGTAATTGTTGATCCATAACTGATATTGAACAGGAATTTGCGCAGTAATATCCAGTTGAGGGCAAATATTACGTCCCCCTATCCATCATGCATAATCGTTCACCGTGTCTCTCGAGGTCCAAGAGCTACACTTGGTCTGGGGTACGTCGGTTATTCAATCTCAGATACATCGTTCATTCTTCCCGAGTCTCGATACGAGGGGTTCCTGGCCTCAATTATAATCATGTCGAGCCGTGCTTCCCCTTTGTTCTCTCATCGGGGAACCGGGAAAAAATTTACCCCCGATTTTACCCGTACACAACGTTCAGACAAAGGCAGATCTAGAATTTCTAGGACATGAGTGCATCACTAAATAAAGGATAGAAAAAAATATTAAGTATTCAACCAAGTGCACCATTCAATATTTTTGGAGCATATGTGAGCATATGAGCCAACACATATGTCACGACCCCAACCCCGATCGTGATGGCGCCCAACACACTGCTAGGCAAGCCCGACCAATTCCATAACTTTAACCATTTATACAACCCACGAATATCTTAACCTAGATGAATTACTAAATCACAATACTGAATATCTGAACTAAAGTTAAAACATATGGAAAACCCAAGTAGAAATACTACTACACAGCCCGAAGAATCCGGTGTCCCAAGTCTGAGCCTCTAATATACGAGTGTCAACCTACTACATAATGTTTTGAAGAAATGCGGAATAAAAATAAATAGGATAGATGGGAAGATCAGGATTGCGGACGTCATGCAGCTACCTTGATGCTCCCGGATGTGATGCTCAACAAAGAAAGATCTCACTCAGCCTCAGTGGGTGCACCTGAATTTGCACACAAGTTGTAGGGAGTAAAGTGATTACTTCCAACTCAGTGAGTAATAAACATAAATAAGGACTGAGAATAAGAAATCCTGAATAGGCACAAAGTAATTCTATAAGTACAGAAACTTGAAGCTAGCAGCACAAAAATCCAGTGGAACAGTGAAAACAATTACAGAAACATCACAGCAGATAAGTAAATAAATGACAAATAATAGTATGCAACGCAACACATAAACCGGTACTCTCCAGTACCCGCTGCGGCGTGCAGCCTGCTCCATTTATTTATCGTCGACGGCGCTCACTGGGGGGGTGCAGACTCCGGGAGGGGCCCCTTACGGCCCAAGCGCAATAATAAGCCATCTCGTGGCATCAACAAGGCCCTCGGCCTCATATCAATATCAACATCATACCGCTACGCGTGCAGCCCGATCCCATGCTCAGTCCAAAAATCACATAAGCCTCTAGGGCAAACCAAAATATAGAAATATTCAGCCCAAACTTCATTTAAAAATATTAATTAAGTTTCAAGTTAAGAAAATGCGGCTGAGTTTGCAAAACAGTATTAAATACCGGGACTGAGTTCAATTGTCTGAAAATAAGGTAAGAAACCAGTAATAATAATCCCTGAAGGATTTAAATCAATTGGCACGAAGCCCAAACATAGCAATTAGTTCAGTTAAAATGATAATGAGGGAATTTCAGTCAAATACACAGTATATTCATCTATCGGGACGGACCAACTCACAATCCCCAACGGTACTCTACCCCATGCACGCTACCTGGCGTGCAAGTCACCTCAATATAGCACTACGATGTGCAAACACGGGGTTTCAAACCCTCAGAACAGCATTTACATCTATTACTCACCTCAAGCCAGCCAAAAGTCTAGCTCGCTATGCCCTTGCCTCTCGAATCGACCTCCTCGCGCGCCGAATCAGATCAAAACCACAACGAATACATTACAATGTGCCAAAGGAACAATACCTAATCGAACACAATCGAAGAATAGCGAAAATCTCGAAATTAGCAAAACCCGAGCCCCGGGCCCGCTTCACAAAAATCAGAAAATTTAACATCAACGGGTTCCTCATCTTGCCCCGAGTCCATGCATATAAAAATTACCAAAATCGGAGTCCAAATGACCCCTCAAATCCCCATTATACCTCTCTTGAGTTTCAAGCCCTAACTTTCATTCTTAACCCTTGATTCCTTTATTTTTCAGTCTAAATTCATGTATTTACACCATAAAATCATGTTTCAAGTCCAAGAGTTCGTACCTGATCAAAGTCCTTGAAACCCTCTTCAAAATCGCCCAAAAACTCTCCAAGTCCGAAGTGAAATAGGTTACTCTTTCAAAAAAATTCGCGAAGAAGACTAATTTAATATTCTGCCCAGGCTTCTCACTTCTGCGGTCCGGTTTCCGCTTATGCTGGACCGCTTCTGCGGCCATTATGCCGCTTCTGCAGTTTTTCACTTAAAGGCTTCGACCGCTTCTGTGGCCCAGAAATCGTACCAGCGGGACCGCTTCTGCGGTCCACGTTTCCGCTTCTGCGAAACTTGCCCTGAGTCCAAGACTCGCTTCTGCGACTTCCTCCTCAGCTTCTGCGTGACCGCACCTGCGGTCCCATAAGCGCAGGTGCGAAAATACCAGATACCAGCAGACCTTAACCATGCAAAAATTTCGAAACTCTCCGTTTAACCATCCGAACTCACCCCGAGGCCCCCGGAACCTCAACCAAAAATACCAATGCATCCTACAACGTTATTGAAACTTGTTCCAATCATAAAAAAACATCCAACAACACAAAAATCATCAATTCTCATTGAATTCAAGCCTAAGTTCTTCCAAAACTTCCGAAACATGCATTCGATCAAAGACCCGACCAAAACACCTCCGAATCAACTGAAATTTTGCACACACATCTCAAATCACCAAACGAAGCTACTGCAACTCTCGGAATTCCATTCCGACCCTCGGATCAAAATCTTACCAATCAACCGGAAATCGCCAAAATACTAACTTCGCCAATTCAAGCCTAATTCTACACCGGACCTCCAAAATCACTTCCGATCACACTCCTAAGTCACAAATCATTCCGCGTAGCTAACCGAATCACCGGAAATCACATCTGAGCCCTCGAACTCATAAGTCAACATCCGATTTACTTTTCCAAACCAAACCTTCCTTAAAGAGACTAAGTGCCTCATTTCCTACCAAAACCAACCCAAATCAACTCTAACACACCAAATACCGAATGAAACATGAAGAAGCATAAAATGGGGGAAACGGGGCGGTAACTCACGTGACGACGGGTCGGGTCGTCACATCCTCCCCAACTTAAACAAACGCTCGTCCTCGAGCGTACCCATAGTTGTCCTAGAAGCCAACCAATAGCTGAATGACCTTACCAAGAATATACCCGGGGTGATCCCACGTCACCCTATCTCGCATAGGTTCGATAACACAACATAGCTGAAATTTCACAATCCATCTAGTCCATAAACCATAGAACCACATTGCACTTTCCGAAATCATACACAAGATCAGAACCTCACATCTATACTCAGAATAAGCCCAAACCAGCTGTAATAACCCATACCTGCAACCTCAGGTGCAATCATATGATATACTACATAACCTAAACACTCGAAACGATAACTTCTATTCACAGCAGTTGCCCACAACACCCGAATTCTGGTAGAAAACCTCTTATCAACTAGGGTCTTATTCCCACACTTTCATATACTGCCAACGATAAATGAAACACGCAATAAACCATAACCATTTTCTCAGATCGACCATTCATGAAGCCACTTCCCTTTATACTAATACCACAGCAGATTCCGAGCCAAACCTCGATATTATCCTTCCAACAAAATAAAATCAAATCCGTTCGTATTCATTGGTGACCCTAATGATCACC